TGATTGGGCGATGGACCAAACCTTGTTAAGTTGAGGTAAAGCGAACTTCGTGACGCTACAGAAAAAGGATCCTTGACTGGTTAATTGGTTTAGGAGTTTGTTTTCGTGTCCAGAACGGAAATCTTTGAGAACTTCCTTAGCAGAGCTATAAGCGTCATATTGGATATTAGTATGGTTACTGGTTGCTTTCCACAGGTCGTTAGTTGATTCATTAGGAGAAGATTTTAAAGCTTTTCGGAGGACTGTTTGACACTGGATAAATTTTACAGATGGAGGATAAATACTCAGGCCAAATTTGTTATTTGTTAGAAAGACAGTACTTAGTGTTCCTGATATTGGTACATCAAGCCATCTGCGGATATATTTGTTGGCAATAGAGTCGATATTTTCAGTAACCCATGTTTTAATAACAGTTTTTCAGTAACCCATGTTTTAAGTGCCAGGCTAACTTGGACAAGACGTAGCGACTGTAGATGAGCAGTTTATTTTTGGGATGTAATGGCTTTGAGTCAATATCAGTCATTAGTTCATTAAGTAGGGTGGTTAGTTCAGTTTTATGATTATCATTCGACATGTGAAAATCAAAGTAACGTCCTAAATATTGAAATGATTTTCCAATGGGGATTTTTGGTATTAGTTGATTGCCGATGAGGAGTTTTGGCAAGTACTGAACTGATTTTGTGATGGCTTTTTTAATGCCAAAGGTCTTGCATTTGTCAACTCGGATAATCATATCGGACCATTGGCACCAGATAGAAAATCGATTTAATAGATGTTGGTTTTCGGATTCTTGGCCAGTAATTACAGCCGCGTCATCAGCAAACTGGAACCAGTGGATGGGATTTAGTAATTTGAAGGAAAACCCAAATTGACGGTATTTTTCAGCTTTGATGTGCTGAACGAATGTATTGAAGCACATGTTAAAAAGAAGAGGACTGAGGCAATCTCCTTGCAATACGCCACGGCCAACTGTCATAAAAGGAGTGCGGAATTCAGAGGTAATTGTCGAGGTTTGGAAATCAGTATATAAACTTTTTATAACAAATTTTATATGATCCGGGATATGGTGGTAGTCAAGTACGGATTGGATGAGGTTGTGATGGATTTCGCCGAAGGCATTCTTAAGATCAAGTAGGGTGATGAAAAATAATAATAATAATAATAATAATAATAGATAGCCAGTATATTTTAGGTCGGAATGATTATTGAAATACAACACAAAACGCGATACAGACACATAATTATAGCCTATTAAATATGAAATAAAATTAAACTAGTATTTTTCAAGAACTTTTTCCTTATTCCTGCTAAACTTCCTTAATGGAAGAGATTTAGTAGTTTCAGCAATCGAATTTTATATTTTGGTGCCCTGAAACCAGATATTAAAAATTCCATAGTTTGTTCTAACTATGGGGGTGAAAATGTTTGATTTAAAGAGAATCTTGTATTATATTCATGTACATGAATTACTAGCTTGAAAAAAGTATCAAAAACAGGCGATAAACGTTGATTATGAAATTTTTTCACAAATACAGCAACATGAAAGGTCACCAGATCATAGATTTTCATAATATTTAATGACTTAAAGTCAGAGTGGGCGTGTACGTTCATAATAATTAGTAAAGGTAATGATTCGGATCATTCTTTTTTGTAAAATCACAAGTGGGTGGAGAGTGGCGCGATAAGTGTAACCCCATACAAGTATGCCATAAATTAATTAGCCTTTAGTGCAATTACCTCAATACACTGTAAATTAAAAAGGGCCAAAACGACCCCAAATGCCGTTTCAGCCCGTTTGGGGTCAAAGCTGTTTTGGCCCTATGCGAAAGCCATTTTGGCATTGGAGAGCTGGATCGGCACCCACGGAGCCATTTTAGGTATGGAGGAATGGCAAATTGGCCCTACCCTTTGCCGTAACGGACCCATCATTTTCCAATTTAGCCCCATCAATTGCCAATATGGCCCCACAGACCAAAACGACTCTCACGTCCGGGTTTGTTTTGGCCCCACATTAAGGGGCCGCTTTTGATCAACACATTGGCTCCTATGAGCTTCGTTTTGGCTCTCCATCGCGGAACGACTCTCGCATAGGTCAAATCGACCCTGGAATGAAATCGATCCTTTTGTCGAAACGACCCTTCTGTCAAATCGACTCTTAATTGTGTCAAATCGACTCTTCTGTCAAATCGACCCTTAAATGTGTCAAATCGACCCTTCTGTCAAATCGACTCTTAATTGTGTCAAATCGACCCTTTTGTCAAATGTGTCAAATCGACTCTTAATTGTGTCAAATCGATTATTAATATTCCGTCGTATGATCGTATCAAATTAACTTCCACATAAAACTTAAAGAATGCACATGCTCGGAAAGAAAAAGAAGAGGACGTTTTTTCAATTATACAAGGTGAGATTTGATGTTTCATTTTGTAGGGTATTGAAATTTGTTTTCCAGAATTTTAGTAATTTTATCGTAAATATAAATACGGTATTTGTAAAAATTAATCACGAGAATTGAACGTGTAAGGCATAGAAAACGAGAATGCAAGCGCCCGTAAGCAATTGGGTTTGCGATCATCCTGTACTAGCCTGTTTCTGGCAAACTTTCTTCACCTTCGTGTCGACGACTGTTGTTTGCTGATGGCCAAATCACGACAACGGGCATCAATTATTCAAAATATGTTCTTATAGCTTCACGTTTACGATACAAAACACGTTTTAATGTAAGATTATTTATTTTTTGTATATGTAGGTTCTAGTTGAAAGTGACAGCGACGATGAAAAAAGTGCACACAACATTGAAATATCCAGTTCACTACTAGCTCGAATCCTGCGACATATCACTTGCTAGTTGCCCAGTTAGTTTAACTTTGCCCAATCCAAGAATCATCTCCTGAATCAGGTATACTGGCAACACTGGTTCATTTGATAATGTAAGTTTTTAAACTGGTATTTTAGATTATAGCCTCGGTCAAATGAGGATGAAAGTCATGCATGAATTGCTTATTATTAAGTACACAAAGGACATTTCAAGTTCCAGCTTAACAAAATATTATTAAAGCTTTGATGAGTGTTCCAACTATGTTTCAACTTAATTAAAATACTCTCATCCTCGTTTGATCCATAATTATTTGTTGATTTTACTCGATACTAAATAGTGAAACATCGAATCCAGAGAAAATCTTATGCAAAACCCACTGTAATCCGAGCTGTAATCACATAATTATATAAAAGTCGTTTCAGTAGCAGCAAAAGCCAAACTAAACACCAATCTAGGATTAATAGGTTTAGCTTTTAGGCCGAGAATAATACACGATTGACAATTTTGTGGCTGATTGATTAATTAATTAATAATGTATTTTGATATTGTTGTTGTATACAGGACATCTGACTTACATGTCAAATTAATAGTCGAATCTATGATTATATTGAGCATGGCAGATTTTACATTTGAAACATTGTTCATGTTAATAACCCATTGAGTCGCATTGCGCCCTGATGCGCACTAAATATTTATTATTTTACTCTGTCTAACGCTAGGCAATTTTACTCATCAAGGGGAGAGCGCTGGCGCTTTATGTGTTAACTAACCTATCTGCTCATGTTTATAGTTAACCCATTGAGTCGCATTGTGCCCTAATGCGGCCTAATTTATTGTTTTACTCTACCTAACGCCAGACAATTTTACTCATTAAGGGGAGAGCGCTGGCGCTTAATGTGTTAACTAGCCAATCTGCCCATGTGTCTAGTTAACCCATCGAGTCGCATTGCGCCCTAATTTATTATTTTACTCTTTCTAACGCCAGACAATTTCACTCATTAAGGGGAGAGCACTGGTGCTTAATGGGTTAACTGACCTATCTGCCCATGTGTGTTGTTAACACATTGAGTCGCATTGTGCCCTAATTTATTATTTTACTCTGTCTAACGCCAGATGATTTTACTCGTCAAGGTAAGGGCGCTGGTGCTTAATGGTTAACTGGCCTATTTGCCCATGTTTATAGTTAACTCATTGAGTCGCATTGCACCCTAATGCGGCCTACTTTATTTTTTTACTCTGTATCAAGAGGAGACCGCTGGTGCTTAATGGGGTTAATATTGAAAATATAGATCAACATTTGTCAAAACTCATGATTTGTGCAATCATTTCTGTAATAATTAAGATATTAAAATACCAAATATAATGCCTTATGGCTTATTTCAGATAGGGAGATGCTATGTCCATTGAAACTTAGTGGATTTGTTGTACATCAAATAAATGCTAGCCATAAACATATTCAAGTCAATCGAAGAGAATGTAGAATTGCACTTTACATACAATTCCCTAGTTATTGTACATTAATGCAAAAAAATGCATGACATTGTGTGATGTTTGAAATGGAAATATATTCTTTTAATTTTATATCTATGGTTTGTACTATGATATACATGGGCTAGCCACAGGGCTGTTGGCAGAGCATTTCCATGATCTGGAACTTCAGTCCTAAACACGATGTGTGGGTGCCATGATGTTGTGTAGAAACATAACTGTACATATTAGAAATATGATTACTGATAATTTCCAAAGAAAAACTACTAATATATAGAAGAGGAAAGAAAGAGGCAACATATAGTTCAAAGTATCTGTTGTACATTTGAAATTTAAAAATGGTAGGCTTATTAAGGATGAGATACAGAGAAAGACAGTAATGCAGAACTATATTCTCTTAAATTGTCAAAATTAAACGCTACCAATCTTGTTCTCGTTTCAAACTTGAATAACGAAAAGTCTAAAAATATAAAAACTATAAGAACAGATCAGCTAAGTCCAGTTATAAAATTAAATGATGAAGGAAAGCTGTCATTTTAGGAAAGTGTTGTTTTGGGGTGTGTAAACTCACGAGGTTGCTGCAGCAAAAATGTATTAATCGTTTGTGATATAATTCACAAGATGTCTATTTTAACCTGTGGGTTGCCAAACTTCTTAAATATGGAATTTGTTTTGTCTGACCAAGATATAATGAATACCACAAGCGACATGAGTATGTCCAATTAAAATTTAACTAGAAATAAATGCATGCAGCAACCCCTAGCATATATTTTCCAAACATTGATTTAACATGAAGTATTAGCAATTGGCCAGCACTGAACGCAGGCTCACATTGTGTCAAGTGTTGTCAAGGCAACATAATGTCACAATATTTTAAATTTTTTGAGTAATTTTGCAAGTGTTCATACCACAGAATCTACCATACATAATTTTAAACAAATAGATAGGTGAAGTAATTCAAACAAAATGATTTGGAAATTTATTACTCTACTCTGTCGAACGCCTATTCTACTCGTAAAGGGGAGAGCGCTGGTGCTTAATTGGTTAAATATGATCGTATAGTTATATGTATATCATGTATTATGTTTTTATGCAGTCTCCCTAAATCACTTGTGGTGGCTATGGAAATTCATGTTTCCAATTTTGTATTTATTTTACTTATGATACAGTATACTGTAAATTTGAATAATATTTGTGTGCTTATAGTGCGCTTATTTTTAGGAGAGTTTGTTGTGGGGCAGCATATATTTTGATATTTCAAAACATTACTGTATATTGGTATGTTATACTTAATGCTTTTGTGATATAGGGGTGTGATATACTTTTTCAGGTATTTTCAGTCTGATGTATGTAAGAGCTTTATTATTGGGTTTATCTCTCTTGGCGAGGCCTTATATCTTATGTGTCCTATAACCCTCTGTAAATGCAGATAATTGCATACATTCTAATTGTATTTTTTTTGTAGGCGTCCGACGATGCAAATATACAATTTCAAACTTATCACAACCCATATTGTGGCCGTTGGCAGCGAACTAGAATACGACTAGAAACTGTCAATCGTACGTTATCGAGGGAAAGGATGAAAGTTCCATAACAAGCAACAGTTGTTTTGATGCAATTATCGCCTTATTTGCAAGTTTTTACATCTTGAATATTGAGTATTGCCACACGAAGAGCATCTTGTCTGCCTTGGAGTCTATAGTAGTGCATGGCAACACAGAAAATGGCATACAACTGCCAATGAGGGTCACAGACCTCTTCAATGACTTGTCATGACTCATGAATATTAGTACTACAGTAATTTTACACTTTTTGAGAGTTATGTTGACATATGCTAACCCAAGTTAATATTATTGGTGGAATGTGTGTATTGTCTCACAGCTCACCGAAATTATTCGTATTGCGTTCACGTTAACAACCGCGCCTGGTATTGCTATCACAAGTTGATTGCTCTTTACAATTAGAATTGTAAACTTTCGGAGCCATATGGCATATATGTACGAATCTTTTGATGGTTCCCACATTTCGGTGAGATCCATAATACTGACTACTGTGCATGTATATTGTAATTTTAGTTATAGTATTGTGTTTATAATACAGAAATTGGAACATTTATCTCAACTTATATTGCAATAATTCACTCCAATCTTGGTCTGTTGGAGAAATTGTAATAATTTAATCAAGACCAAATAAACCCCAATATTTTTGCCTGATTCATTATATATACATGTAGAATACGTCTACATGCAAGAGTGCAACCAAATCCACATGACTTTAAATGCTATATAAAACGGCACCACCAAAAAGCTATATCAGCTCGATCGGTTCTAAAGCACCTCTTCATTGGCGCTGAGACTGCTCTCCTCTGAAAGAGCCAGAACAGCTCCGGTTAACAAAGTAGGGGTTAAATTGGCTTTTCTTTTGGATCTATAATGGCTCTGAAATTGGACCAAATTGACCCTTGCTACAAACTACACCATGAAAAAAGCTATATTAGGTCCCTCGGCTCTAAAGCAGCTCTTCTTTGGGGCTGAAACTGTGCTCTTCTGAGAGGGCCAAAATAGCTCTGGTTAAAAAAGTAGGGGTTAAATTGGCCTTTCTTGTGGTCTATAATGGCTCAGAAATAGAACCATATTGGCCCTTTGGGTGCTAAAAAACTGCACCATTAGAAAAGCTATATCGGCTCCTTCGGTTCTAAAGCAGCTCTTCATTGGGGCTGAAACTACTCTGTAACTCAGTAGCCAAAACAGCTCCGGTTAGCGAGCCAAATCAACGCTTTTTGGGGTTCATTATGACCACAAATGGGAGCCAAATTAACTCCTCGAAATGCCAAAATAGCCCCCTAATTTTCTGAATTGGCCCCTATTGAAAGTTGAAATAGCCCCTGCTTTTGCCAAAACAGCTCCTACTAAAAGCTGAAACAGCCCTTACACTGGAAGGGCCAAATCACCCCTTAGGGGCCGCATTGTTATAGGTGCCATTTTGACCCCCAAAAAAGATCTATTTTGCGGTTACCGTTTTGGCCCCATTTTTGGGGTCGTTTCAGCCCTTTTTAATTTACAGTGTATCCTCGATTTTTCGCTTTTAATGCATTTCTTTCACGATTAATCGATATCCCCTGCAAGAATGATACCGTATAACTCTCAAAACAACGATGCTTTAGTCAAAGAGCTTAAATTCACTCTGAAGTCCGTGAGGGAATAACAAAATTCGGCCAAAATATATCCGCGTGCCGGGTTTGCTGTGCAAAAAGCGGAAGTCGTTGAACAACTCAAAATACACTCAACCCTGATTGGACAACGAATATCAACAAACATTTCAAATTTTTTTAACAGTACTGTAATAATTTCAATCATACAATCAAAACTATTCACAAACGTTATAAAGTGTAAATATTACTGCAAGTATATAAAACTGTAGTACGTTAATATGTATAATAAATTGTATTTCACATTGTGTTTGTTAAAAAAATTTGAAATGTTTGTTGAAATTCGTTGTCCTCAGGGTTGAGTGTCGACTTCCGACTTTTTGCACAGCAAACCGGGCACGCGGATATATTTTGGCCGAATTTTGTTATTCCCTCACGGATTTCAGAGCGAATTTAAGCTCTTTGATTAAAGCATCGTTGTTTTGAGAGTTATACGGTATCATTCTTGCAGGGGATATCGATTAATCGTGAAAGAAATGCATTAAAAGCGAAAAATCGAGGATAGTTTCGTGTGACTTATGCCCAGTCTGGGCTATTTTGGTCTCAATGTCTCCTTCCTTCCCTCGTTATAAGGAAGGCACAGCCGGGCGCGGGCAAATTGACCCTGGGCCTCTTGTGTACTTGGTACAGACCTCCAAGTTCTCCTCCTGATCTCTTTTCTCACTTTGAGGTTTTAATGGATAAAATTGATGTTGAAAACTCCGAATTTCATCTGCTTGGCGACATAAATTGCAATATGCTCTCAGGGTCGCCCAACTCTAACACCTCCGAACTTTTAAACATTTTAGATATTTACGATTTTCATCAACTGGTTACAGAACCTACTAGAATAACTTTAACTTCGCAAACTCTAATTGATTTATGTATTACCAATTTTCCTAATAAAATAACAGCATCTGGTACTTTTTCACTGGTATCAGTTACCATTCACTTGTTTACTTAGTTCGCAAGTCCAGCTACCCTAAGTGGCAGATAAATAAACCGGTGATAAGGAGAGACTTTAAACAATTTAAGGAAGCCAATTTCCTATATGATTTAAATGAGTCAAATTTTGACGAGGCTTCCCATTGTGAAAATCCTAACGAAATGTGGTCCAACTGGGCAAATAAACTTACGTTGGTAATCAATATATTTGGATGAATATATTTGGAATCAATATAAAAAAGCTTGTAACGAAACCAATAATCTCATTAAGCAATCAAAACATAACCATTTTACATCTAATATTGAAGCTGCAGGTAACGACCCTAAAAAAACTTAGAAGCTTATTAACGAACTGACCTCTCGTAAACAAAGCCTGACTTTATCAATATGAATTTCTTGAAATGAAAAAACACAATTTGGCCCTTTAAAGTACTGAATAGGATTTACATTGGATTTACTAATGTCATTCGCTAAATTTTTGCCAACATTGGTGAAATGAAGTTTCTAAAACATATAAACGTTGCGAAATCTACTGGTCTGGACAATCTTCCGGGTAAACTACTAAAAATTGCAGCCGATATTTTAGCACCTTCCTTAACTAAACTATTCAACAAATCACTATCCACGGGCATCTATCCTAGTGATTGGAAATTGGCCAGGGTTGCTCCTATATTTAAAAATGGTGACAAATCAGATTTGAATAATTATCGGCCAATCTCCATAATCTCAAGTGTTGCAAAAGTTTTCAAAAAAATCGTATATGATCAATTTTACGAGTACTTGTCAGTCAATGATCTATTCTCGCATCAACAATCGGGATTTCGACCTACTTACAGCACTGTAACGGCTCTACTCGAATCGGCTAATGACTGGTGCGTAAATATCGATAATGGTCTGGTAAATGGAGTTATTTTCATTGACCTAAAAAAGGCCTTTGATACTATTGATCACGAAATTCTCATAAATAAACTTGAATGCTATGGAGTTGATTGCAGTGCTCTAGGCTGGTTTAAATCTTATCTGTCTGATCGTAAGCAAAGGTGCTTCGTGAATGATACACTATCCAGTAGCCGTTCTTATACTTATGGTGTTCCGCAAGGGTCAATAATTGGACCTCTCTTGTTTCTGGTCTGTATTAATGATTTGCCAAATTGTATGAATGACGGTTTAGCAAAAATGTATGCCGATGATACTAACATAACTTTTCATAGCCATGATCTTTCTGAGTTGGAAGACGCAATGAATGCGGAATTGATCAATCTAAATACCTGGCTACAATCCAATAAATTAAGTCTTAATATTGCAAACCCGAACTTATGGTTATTGGCTCCCGTCAGAGACTTGCAACCTTCAGTGATTTGTCGTCTTTCGGGATTTGTTTCGAGTTCTATATCTTCCTCCAGTTTTTTCCTATCTATTTTTAGGGCTTTGATACGTTTTCCGGGAGATCCATTAGGAACGGTGTACCCCGCAAATTCTTTCGTTTTTGCACTGTTATTTTCCCCTCACTTTCTAGCTTTCTCGCGTGTTCTATGAGGTTATCACCTGCAATGACAGCTTCCTGATGTAGTTCTTTCCTAGCATCCTCAAAAAATTTCTTCTGCGTTTGTTTTTGATGTTTCTCTTCCGTTTTCTTCTTCGATTGTGCTTATGGCTTTAACCCTATGCTCTTATATTGCCTTGTCGTATAATTCGAGGAAATTATGTGAATTTTCTAAATACTTCTTGTCCCGTGATATTTTGTAGGTACCATCCTTTTCGATGTATGCTACTGTGGTTCCGTCAAATGTTAATTTATTAATTATCAATGTCTAGGCAAGAAAAAACTCTCTAGAAAATTGTCCGCCGTTTGGTTTAAATTGTAGTCTTTTACGAAAAGCATTCTAACATATTCTGCTTTTAATTCGTTAAACGATGCGACGGTGTACAAACGATCTGTCTCTTTTTTCCTTTTTTTAAATGTATCGTCCTTGTTTTTCTCGTGGAAGGTACAGACCCTTACGTTGTCGTCTTACCTGTCTAGTCTGTCTAATCCAGCCCGGAAGACGTCTTCTTAAACGGGTGTATCGCTAATGATATCTTCATCACCCCCTTCAGCTCCTTCGTCACCTTCCGTTCGGTTAAGGTTGTCCATCTCTATGGTGTCCATTTTTATTTAAGTCTACAGATAATTCTTGTTCGTAATATCTTCCTAAGATATCCTCCCCATGTTGGGATTTCCCATAAATACTGCCGTGACGACATACAGTTCGTTGTCTAAAGTGGGTTCGTATCCCTTTTCGAAGGTTTTGTGCTTTATTTCCTCCCTAACATGAACCCCAACCTTAAATTTAGGTTTTGGAAAACTGTCCAGTGGGTACCCACAGATCCTTGTCCAAACTTCCTCCTTATTTTTCTCATTCGCATCCGCCGGTCTCATCCCTATTGTCCTGTATGTGGTACTATTATAGGATCTGACGAGAGCAGGTAAGATGTCCACCCAAACTTTCGTCCTATTTTCCGTAAAGTATTTCCAAATTCTTGTTTTAAGGGTCCTATTGAATCTCTCAACAAGTGCGGCTATCCGGAAGGTTCTTGTGGAAAAGTAGTGGACATCATGATCCTTTAGCAACGTCTTTACTCCTACATTGTAAAATTCCTTTCCATCGTTGAATTGAGCCGTTTTTGGGTATCTGCCAAACCTCTCCTTAAATTGTGTGAGGACATTTTCGACAGCCTTCGTCATGCTCTCGGTATTTTTCCTCCATACGGGAACGGCAAAGGGCTTAGAACCTCTATGACAGTTAGGATCCAACGGTTTCCCTTATTCTTATTAGCTGAATTTACTCATATCCACAAGATCCATTTGGATCTGTTGTGCAAGCCCGTCCACATAGGTCCTTTGGGTTTTGTAATGTTTTCGGGATGGTTTATGAATAATGTAGGTATTTTGTGCTTGTAACCATTCTTGTAACAATTCAAAGTTGGTAAATATGTCGAGCTCTGAATTAGGTGGTCGATACCAGGTAGCAATTAGAAGAGGCTTACTATGTTGCCTAGTAATCTCCACACATGTCATTTCTAAATTATCAGGGACTAAATCTTTTCTCTCAGTGTATGGTATATTGTTTTTTATATAGAGAGCCACACCACCCCCAAATCTGTTACGATCAAAACGAACAATTGTATAATTATCAATATGAATTTCTGCATCCAAAATTGAGGAGTCGATTTTAGTCTCATTAATGGCCAAAATGTCAAAAGGGTTATCAGACAGCAAGATACGAATCTCATCGATATGTTTTAAAAGACTATTAATGTTTAAATTTGCAAACTTCAGGCCCTTTAAATTCGATATGTTAAAATCAGGCAGAAATAAAGTTGAATTTGTTGAAATTGACTCGCTATCGAAACTTATCGTATTATTATTATTACTACTTAAAGTTGAGTTACTATTCATTGCTGAGTGACTTGAGTCTATCGAGTTCATGTCGTTAGATATTTCAGAGTTTTTTCTATTAGGTGAAGTGTCTCTTCTAAGTGAAAATGTTTAGAATAGTTGTGATGTTGTTGTGGTGGAGAAAACTGCCGTCCACGTAGGAACTTAATAAATCCTACTGCAAGTAAAGCGGTTCCCTTTGCGTTTAGATGCAGCTTACTATTGTTCGGGCATGTCCCATTTATGTTATTATGAAGTATAATATTATAGCCGTTACGAGAACACATGTCTTTGATCTTGTTATTGACCTCTTCAATTTTATTTGCTAATTGAAGGTCTTTTCTACATGTGATAGTTGACACTCCGATTTGTGCATTGGGAAATTTGCCTTGCACTCTCGAGCACGGATCTTCAAGTTTTTTTATGCAAATATTTGGGTCGTCTGTTGGAAGATTGTTTGTTCCACAGTGTAATATAACATGAGAGGGCGCTACGTTTTGATCTATATTGCGTATTTCGAACTCTATTTCGTCCGCTGATTTACCTGGGTATGTAAATTTATGCACTTTTTTCTGCGACAGCCTCTGTGGAATGATGTTTGTGATTGACTTCCACTGTTAGTTTTATGAAAGTTTTTATTACTATTAGGAATTTTTTGCCATGGTACGGGGTTGCTTTTGTGGCACTGGCAACCGACACTATTACCCCTATGTTGACAAAGTTTGTCTTGTGCAATAAGCCTTGTCGCGAGCTGTAGAGAGTCTCTTTCTTCCTCGATTTTAATTAGCTTTTGTTCAAGAGAATTTATGTATCTTGTTTTCTCATTTATTTCAACTAAATATTTTTCATTTAAATCCGCAGCTCTGTTATATAAAGATAATATCGTGTCATGATCTTTGAGTACATTTTCAAAAGACAAAACTGACGACTGAAGGGTAGACATTTTAGATTTTAGACTCTCATGAATGATTAAGGCCCCAGCGTTCGTTCGCTGTCTGATTATTTGTGTGACATGAACTATCAGTCATAACAAACTTGTTATTCTCAATATTCTCAAGCATGCCATCCCCCGAGTTGGTTTCGTCAGCTATAGTATTGCCACTTTTATTAAAAGAATTCTCCAACGACTCTTGGTCATTACATATATATAAACCAGTTGTATTCAGCCTTTTACCTGAGGCGGCATCCATGCTTGTTTCGGTGTTGTCGTCATTATTGAAGTGGTCTTGACATCTCTCTGTATTGCTGCCTTGACTTTCGACTAAACTTTCACATATAGATTTCAGAATCTTAGACAATTCGTCTGTCTCAGTCGAATTTCCAGCCAATGTGATAGTTTTAATGGTTTTTCCGTGCCATTTCAAGCTCACAATATCAGCTGTGAATAACTTTACTTCTCCGCCCGGCGACGTCCATCTTCCTGAGAGTTTTAACTCCTTTGAGACAAATTCCTTCAATTTAACTAATGTACTATCCCAGTAGAACCTTTCTCCTCTGGCCTTTAAGTTAGATCGAAGATCTACAGCCATATTTTGTGAGAATTGGAGTAAATATAACGATTAAGGTAATTCCGCAGTTTTGCATTATATCAACACGAGTGGAATAACTGTGACATGTTTTATTATACTCAGTCAAACAGGTCTGGACTTTTCGGTGTAACGATAATAGGTCTCTGGATGGGTTCTGGTTCTTCTACGGATTTACTTTCCTCCAGATTTTCGCTTTTCTTCTGACGACTACACCACATGAAGTAAAGGGATCCGAGCCCTACGGCAATACCCACCACCAGGTCGACTCTCTCAAAAGTGACTGCTGACCCATCACCTTTGTCATCTACATCCGGGATGCTCTGTTCCTCCTCCTTCATAGCTTCGAGTTGTGCCTTCTTCCTGGCTTTTGCCTCCTTACTGATCCTAGCAAGCCTACGTCCCGACTCCACCCTTCTGGGATCCTTGACATGAGTCTTTACCGGATTCGTTACCGGAACTGCAGTCATATCTGTGTTCTCTTCTGACATGGTTTTATTAATAGAGGAAAAAGTTCAAGTAACCCTAATTCTACTCAATGGTATCTCAAAATATTTTTGAGTAAGTTCCAGGTAAACCTAAGTATAAACCAAGTAAAAGTTAAGTTGAGCAGACGTGTATTCTTGTGCTCCGGATAGACCTTGAAACATGAATATAATGGGGGCCTCCTCAACCGTTTCGAACATCTTGTACAGTTATTTTAATATTAAAAGGAGCAAACTGATTTGGACTGGATCGCTCGAAACTCTAAAAGCGTTTGTCCTCACAGAGATTGACGAAGAAACTGCCGAAAGAACTACATGGCGCTCGCCCAATGGCGGTAAATGGGTATTTGACAGCAAGTTGTTATCAGTTACTTGGCTAACAAAAAGCCAGACGGTGAGAAGGGCAGTGACTTGATGGAACGAATACATTCGTTTTTAAAGCAAGACCCGGACAATGCTTCAGAAATCGCTAATCCTGCTGAACTTGAAAAACAGGCCAGTATAGATTCCGAAACCAGTACAAAGCACGATGAATCGAACACGAAGTCAAAAAATTTACATGAAGAGTCCATCAGTCTATATACGGTGACAAAGTCTGGCAATCTGCAAACAAAATCAACAAATAGGCATAATCCCTTGGGAAGTAGTGCCAGCTGTAATCGCGACTCCGCTGAGATTAGTTGACTGAATTCGAAACTTGACAGATTTTCTAAAAACGTGACAAACAAATTACAAAATCTCAGCGTCGAGATAAACAACAGTAAAGAGAACAAACCCTACTCTATTTTGGTTTTAGAAAACGTAGTCAATGATCTAAAGGAAGATAAGCATGTGCTAATTAGAAAGAACGACGAACTCAGGAAACAAAACATGGATATGTCTCATATTATATCTGATTTGAAAATGGCAAACAAGAATCTGGAAAGCGAAAAGAGCAGCCTGTTGACAGCTCTTAAATTTAATACAAAATGACTACCAACAAACGTGCACGAAAACAATTGTGGAAAATGACGGCGAGAATAATGTGGAATTGGTTTGCGAAACAATAGAGGGAAGTGAAGTCACTCAACCAAAACCTTCATCTAATCAGCCCGCAAACGATAAGCATCTTAACACCGAAGCTAGTACTGGGAAAAATCGTAAAGAGAAGGGAAAGAAATCTAAGTCCAAACCTCCAACACAAAATTCCAGCCAACAAACTGCGGATGTAGATACTTCTGGTGGTATTGTGAACACCTCTAGTTCTAAATCAACGGGGCAAGGCAAGAAAACAGTTGTTATTGCAGGGGACTCAATTGTTAAAAATACTATTGGTCCGAAAATGAGTGCTGACGATCCTAATCACCATTTTATTGTAAAGCCGTTCCCTGGAGCAACAGTCTCAGATATGGAGGATTTTGTCATGCCATTGACAAGAAGGACGCCGGACAAGATGACCTTACACGTCGGAACAAATGACCTGAGAAGTCATTCTACGCCGAAAATAATAGCAGACTCCATTGTCAACATTGTAACACAAGTAAAAGAAGATTCATCACGTACAGCATTTTTTTCACGTACGTTGACATTTCAGCTATTCTGGTAAGAAATGACAATAATGACCTAGCTGCTAAAGCTATTCAAACTAATAATATTCTTAAAAGCTTTTGTAGTCGCAATAGAATCCCCTTTTTAAGTAATTCAAATATGAATGCATGTCACTTAAATAGACAAGGTAGTTTAGCTTTACAACAAAACTTACTAGGTTTTGCAAAAACTATTTCAGATTGACTTTATCCTACTCAGTCCGTTATTCCTACCTCGCGCGGGTTTAAGCTCGCGGCACTTAATGAGAGAAGCCTAGTAAATCATATTGATGACCTGCGAGTTTTGCTTGCTACTAGCCCGATCGATGTCCTAACAATAAATGAGACATGGCTTAATTCTACAATAAGCGATAACGTAGTATATATACCTGGATACGAAATCATACGTCGTGACACTGTGACAGGGCATTTAGAAGTGCAGATGGAAAAACGTGTGTATGCTCCAGCGTAAGTTTCATACAGCGTAAAGACATGTCTATTAATGATTTAGAAAATCTATGTATTCAAATTCAAAAACCAAATTCTAAGCCATTTCTCGTTGCTACATGGTACAGGCCACCAAATTCGAATGTTGATCAATTTAATTATTTTGAGACATTTATTGACATGCTTGATGCTGAAAATGTCGAGTACTATTTATTGGGTGACCTAATTTAGAGAGTAATTCGATATCATTAATAGGCATCACTGAGCTCTATGGTTTACATCAATTGATAAGTGAACCGACTCGAATTACTGAAACTTCCTCAACTATGATTGACCATATATTCACCAATACACCAGATAAAATTGTTTGCTCCGGTGTTTCTCATGTCGGTATTAGCGATCACAGCTTAATTAATATATGCATTCCGTAAGCTTTCAACCGGTCTACACAATAAACGCCATTCTACAGTAAATTAACGAAAATTTAAAAATTTTAACTCTGAAAGTTTTCGGAGTGATATTTTTTCACAGAATTGGGACGTCATAAAGGCGTATAATAATCCGAATGATATGTGGCGTGTGTGCAAAAGGACCTTTAAGTGGCAGTCCCGCTAAGAGCGGTCCGATGACTTTGACTTCGGAAAATAGATTTCCTTTATTTTTTGTGTGTTGAAAGGCATTGGTATACAAGTGTCCAAAATAAATTTATTTTTTGAAAATTCTTTTTTATGGCTTCGCTAGACGCCGAAACTCATTTTACCCGTGCAGAGCTACTTTCAAGCAAAATCGAAGGTTGAATTTCGGTAAATTGTAGAGCCGCGCTGAGTCAAAACGCCTGACTATTTCCAAATTTCAACTAGATCAACAAGTTAAAGATACAATTCAGGTTCCCTGTTCCAAAAAATAAGAGCATTTGAATAAATCGTGAATAAACGACAGCACTTGACGGCACACCGGTTTTTGCTTCTTGTTCGGTCTACAAAATTACACAAAAATCGAAGCCTGAGATCTCCAAATGGGGACCTAAAATTACGCTGAAATGTGCTTGGCTATAATGATTTATACTTATTTTCAGAAGATCTGAAGAAAAACTTGCGGGTATCAATCTGTATTTGGCGCGAGTTAAGATTTTCTGGAGCCCATAATCAATGATTTTTGCATAATTTATAACTAATTAACTCTTTCTTATAATTAACATATTTCTTGAGAGGCGCTAAAAGTAAACAATTTCTTTCTGACTAACATGAAGAAACTACCACAGGCCACAGCTGCTAGTAAAACCCTTTTTGTAAATATAGTCGATCGTAATGTTCTTTTCCTGACACGCTGAGAGAGCTTTGTTTTTTAATGTTATGCCACATTCATAAATGTCACGAACTTGTATATTTCAAAAATATACCAGAATTCAGAAAGACCGATTATTCTTTCCTTAATTCAGTTGATTGATTTAGTTGATTGATTTAAAATACTATAAGTATAATAGAACATTCCACGTGTTTCCATTCCTACGGAAGCTCAGAGGCGACAGCATAAAACCACTTTTGTATATTACATATCCTTAACTTCAACATTGTCAAAACTTGCAGAAAACCTCATAATCGAGTATGAATTAAAATCTAAACTACTAAGAAAGATGGACCCAATGCAATTTGGCTTTATCCCAGGATCGTGTTGCATACCTGGCTAGATGCACTTGATGGGACGGGTTCTACAGTAAGAATCGCTCTACTTGATTATCGCAAAGCCTTCGACCTAGTCGACCACAATCTACTTGTTGCAAAACTATCCGATTATGAAATAAAGCCAACGGTTGTAAATTGGATAGCTGACTTTCTTCGTGGTCGAACTCAGAAAGTTAAAATAAACTCTGTGTACTCAAATTTTTTACAAGTTCCTGCCGGTATTCCACAGGGAACGAAAATCGGTCCCTGGCTATTCCTAGCAATAATAAATTATCTATGTATTATAAAATCTCCGACTAGCAACCTGTCAAAATTTGCAGACGATACTTCGGTTTCCGAAGTTATTCCAAAAGATGGTGTTAGTTCCCTGCCAGATAAAGTAAACGAAGTAAATAAATGGTCGAATGACAACAAATTTCAACTGAACCCTGGTAAATGTAAAGAGCTGAGGATAAACTTTACCACGCAACCATTAACTGAGGAACCCCTAAATATAAACGGGAAGCCATTTGAAATTGTAAAATCCGCAAAAGTTCTGGGCATGATAGTTACCAATGATTTGAAATGGAACAAACATGTGAGCAATACCGTGGAAAAGGCTTCTAAGAGACTTTATTTATTAAGGCAATTAAAACGTGCTGAAGTGGAAACTAGATCCTTATACAAGTTTTATACCGCGTGTATAAGATCTGTCGTTGAGTATGCTTGCCAAGTCTTCCACTCGAGTCTCCCTAACTACCTATCAATGGAAATTGAAAGTATTCAGAAGCGGGCACTACGGATTATCCACCCGGACTTGAGTTACATCGAAGCATTAAAAAAGGCAAAATTGGAAACATTGTAGGCTACGATCGAAGAGAAAAGTTGTGTGTAAAACTATTTTCATCAATCGAAGCAAATGATGATCATAAGTTAAAAGAACTATTGCCACCGAAAACTTTACAACCAAACAATCTCAGAACAAACAGAAAATATAAAATCTTCCCAATATGCACACGAACAGATTTAGTAATTCCTTTATTCCATATTGCGCGCGTAATGCAACCTTGTAGGTAATTTCAGATCGTTAATATTTTAAATAGTTATGAACATACATTTACATTTAGATTTTAGACTTTTTACTAGAGACAACACAATATGTACAGTAATAAACAGGATATGTAAACATATATAGGTACATACATACATTTATAAATATATATATATTCGTATATTTTCACTTTGTAAATTCAATAGTAATTCAGTCGCAAGACTGTAAATATTGATACAACTAAACGTTCTATCTATCTATCTGTTTTATATTTTGTATTTTATATTTTGTATTTTATATTTTATATTTTGTATTTTATATTTTTGTGTAATGATAATGCTCTTAGACGTGGGATTATAGTCATTTAGTAATACAAATTGTGATATTTAACAACAATACATATGTCAAAACATGATTACAAGCTATAGAGACATTGTATTTTGACTACGCGAAATGTGTGTTACATACTGAACGCTTGTTTAAAGAGCATTATCGCGCGCTTAATAAATCACGCAAATCCTTTGTGGCCAAATTGGGTGACGGAAAGTGCGGTTTCTTGGGGGTAAGGGCCCCCAGAAAAGCTGGAGAAACAACATCAGGGTGAGAGTAAGGGCCCTCACCGTTATGGACATTGAATCTCATGTCCGAGCCGGGCTTCCCCGTGGTGAAGTGACCGAGAGATGCGAAGATCAGGACGAGGGTAAGGGCCCCTGCAGTTATGGACCTTGCTCTCTTTTGCCGGTGTGTGCTTCACCGTGGGCGAAGTGTGGCCGTGTGGACACCACTTTCCGTCCCGCTTTCTTTATTTCTTCTTGAATGTAGAAAAATATTTACAAGCTGATCAAACAGAACAAATAAGATATGATTACAATTGATTTCTTATATTTAATTAAGTTCTATAGTTCCTGATTATTGGGATGCTTCTTCTTCATCCAAGGGTTGGGTGGGTGGGTGGGATTTTCCTTCTATGTTGTCTCGAAGACCGTTGAAACCAGAGTGAACTGAGATAAAATTTGGCTAGCTTTTGCTGATAACTGAAGAATGTCGGCTTAGCAAAATGGAATTATATTGACAATTTGGCATTGACACATGGCAGGTGTTGCCCGGAGAGCAAGGCGGTTGTTTTCTTTGCTTATCGTTTCCGTTTAGTTTTCGGTATGGATGTTGCCTCTTATTAATTCTAATTTATTTTTTAAAATAAATTGCTCCTTAATAAATCACGCAAATCCTTTGTGGCCAAATTGGGTGACGGAAAGTGCGGTTTCTTGGGGGTAAGGGCCCCCAGAAAAGCTGGAGAAACAACATCAGGGTGAGAGTAAGGGCCCTCACCGTTATGGACATTGAATCTCATGTCCGAGCCGGGCTTCCCCGCGTGGTGAAGTGACCGAGCGATGCGAAGATCAGGACGAGGGTAAGGGCCCCCGCCGTTATGGACCTTGCTCTCTTTTGCCGGTGTGTGCTTCACCGTGGGCGAAGTGTGGCCGTGTGGACACCACTTTCCGCCATTGATCGAAACAAAGTGTAGATCCCCCACGAGAAGCATGTTGGTCGGGAAAAATTATAAATAGTTAATATGAAGTATTTATAGTATGGTATAGATGTATGTTTTATAGTATGTAATGATGGCGTGCTGCGCAAATAAGATATATGGTGTCCACGAGATACTAACACTTATGCTACGGCTGGATAATCAGGGAGGCCAGGAAAAAACCTGCAGTACAGGAAAACCTGGGTAGGGCCAAGACCACCAGCAGCTCCCCACATAGCTTTATCTTTACAAAATTAAGAAATGTCAGTATCGCGCTAGACACCACTAAGCTATTCTGTTAACGCATGCGTTATTTGTTTTATTGTTTTTGGTTTGTTTTCGTTTTCTTTTCTTTTTTTTTTGTTATGAAACTACGCTTTTGAGCATAAATAAGGGAACTAAACGATCAGAATTAATTTGTCGCAATCCAAAGCAGAACGCCACCGTACAGTAGTAGTTCAGGTAATAGAATGTAGATTATGTCATAAATAGTTCATATATACGTAGAGAGTTCATAGCCATTAGGACGTAGGAGTGATCCAGATTGGTGATTGAAGGCGGAAACCAAGATGGCGCAAATGCTGAGATCGTCTTCGTGTCCTTCCTTCGTTTGTAGCAGAATGACTAAAAGAGAGACGGAGAAAAGCAAAAACTGCTCTGTGTATAATCATGAGCTGGTCGATAATAGTTGTCTCAATGCGCGATGAATAAATTTGTACCGGGATGCGAGTTCTCTTCTACCCCTTAATTTGGCTTTGTCTCTGCGAGTGATTATAGTGAACTGTGAAGTATGTTTTGTTCTAATTGCATGTGGGGTGTATACGCGATGGCATAAAGTAGGAAATAACCTCGGAAATAACAGTGTATAGTATTAGGAATTGTCTTGATCTGGTGAAATATGCCGTAAACCTTTTCGTTTTGGTAGTTGGTACGCTAGCAATATAAGTACCTACTATGTACAGTACTGGGTTTTGTAAGACGCCATGCAAATGCAGGTGATCATAATGTCATGCTGTAGTATTTCAATTATTATCTAGCGCTTGTGGTATAAAATGCGAAGATCGCTGTTGACATATTTTGTGAGACTGGGGTTTTTGTACAGGAGAATATATGTGTTGTATTTTACAGTTATATGCAGACGTCATGACGTGCAAGCAATTTTCATGCTTTCTATATATTTACTATTAAATTTTCGAAATCTCGGTCGCGCTATTTCCAATCTTTCCAGTGAGAAATATGCGGAAACCCATGAAAGCGGAATGTCAGTAATAAAATCGTCTAACCCAGCTGCATATACTTCATGCGCTCTGCCGCGTCCAAATACCGAGTGTGGCAGAAATGCGGCTATCTTTAAAACGGGGAACGGGGAATGGGGGAAGGGAACGGGGAAGGGAACGGGGAAGGGAACGGGGAAGGGAACGGGGAAGGGAACGGGGAAGGGAACGGGGAAGGGAACGGGGAAGGGAATGAGCGGGGAATGGCCGGGGAATGAGCGGGGAATGGCCGGGGAATGAGCGGGGAATGGCCGGGGAATGAGCGGGGAATGGTCGGGGAATGGCCGGGGAATGGCCGGGGAATGGCCGAAATCGGGAAAAAAACTAACATTTTGAAGATTTTTGATTAAATATTTTCATGAATTGTTTTCGTTGCGTTATGGCAAATGTAGCATTGAAGTAAATCGAAATTACAGTAATAGGATTAGGCGACCGAAGCTATGTTGTTTGTGTAAATGTCGTCAAGTTCGTTTCGTTTCGTTGCGTTATGGCAAGTAATCAGCCGGACCGCACATTGTAAGTATATACAACGCAAGACAATAGACCTTGTTATATAGTTTTTGTCAAAGTTCAATTTCTCTGTTCGACGATTGATCAAAACCGTATCACGTAACAATAGAGAGGTTTAAGATACCCCGAAAGCACCACTGCCAATTTCTTCAACATGTTCTAGTGATTCCCAACTAAATGTGGGTAAACAGTGATCTATTTTTCGCCTTTTTATTAGTGAAGGAAATTTAAAGCTTCCCTGTACTCCAGACATTTTGAATGTCGGCAACCAAAAGCTGTTTGCTGACGTATTACACTATTTTATCTCACCTTTTGTCATTTGAGTATGTGGCACTTTGGGCATAGTTTTCAATGTGCGCTTCCTATCTAAGCACAATGTAAAGCTTAGTAAGAATGTAAGATCAAATTTCGAAAAAATACTGGATTGAAATGTCATCATTACAAATGAAATTTTTAGCATAGAACTGGACACTGTGGACAGCAAGAATTTACCCGAAGGTTAAAAAAATGTCGTGTGACACAAATTACATTTAATGACAGATTTTCGCCAGGTTTTTAAACGCCGAGCTTCCTATAGCTATACGCCGCACAGTGACATTGGAATTAATACTGTTACCCGATCCTCACGTTGTATATCAAGAAC